GATATGCAGATGATACCACTCTGATGGCAGAAAGTGAGGAGGAATTAAGGAACCTTGTAATGAGGGTGAAAGAGGTGAGCTCAAAAAATGGTCTGAAGCTCAACATCAAAAAAACTAAGATCATGGCCGCTGGTCCCATCACCTCCTGGAAAATAGAAGGGGAAGATATGGCGGTAGGGACAGTTTTTACTTTCTTGAGCTCCATGATCACTGCAGATGGAGACAGCAGCCACGAAATTAAAAGATGCCTGCTTCTTGGGAGGAAAGCGATAACAAACCTCGACAGCATCTTAAAAAGCAGAGACATCACGTTGCCAACAAAAGTCCGAATAGTCAAAGCTATGGTTTTTCCTGTAGTGATGTACAGAAGTGAGAGCTGGACCATGAAGAAGGCTGACTGCCAAAGAACTGATGCTTTTGAATTGTGGTGCTGGAGGAGACTCTTGAGAATCCCCTGGACTGCAAGGAGAACAAACCTATCAGTTCTAAAGGAAATCAAGCCTGAGTGCTCACTGGAAGGACAGATCCTGAAGCTGAGGCTCCAATCCTTTGGCCATCTCATGAGAAGAGAAGACTCCCTGGAAAAGCCCCTGATGTTAGGAAAGTGTGAGGGCAAGAGGAGAAGGGGACAACAGAGGATGAGATGGTTGGACAGTGTCATCGAAGCGACCAACATGAATTTGGCCCAGCTCTGGGAGGCAGTGGAAGGCAGGAGGGCCTGGCGTGCTCTGGTCCATGGGGACACGAAGAGTCGGACACGACTAAACGACTAAACAAACAAACAAACCTCTGGGAAGGGAGATCAGCCTGCTCTCTCTCAGCATGCACCCGCCTGGCCCCATGTCTGCTCATGCACCCCGGTGTGTGTGTATGTGTGTGGGGGGGGTGTCCATCAACTTGAGACTCAGACTTGAGGCTTTGGACTCAGTGCTCTGACCAGAGCACGCGCCAGCATCCCTACAAACACATAGTCTGCATTTATTTCTTTATCTTTATGCTGCTTTTCATTTTCAAGACATCTGCATGTAAAAACATAATCAATCTGACTGATGAAAATAAACAATGATAAAGCAATGCAATAATAATGTGTGGCTCATTAAATCCAAGGGTAATTGGCAACATGAAAGGAAAGGAATTGTGAAATAGGTAAGTCTTCAGCTGATAGTAGAAATACTTAGTGCTGAGTGCCTCCTGCTGTACATCAGTGAGGAAATTACTCCACATTCCACGATACAGAAGGCTTTCTGCACAACAACCAAGTGAAACTGGCTAGACCGTAGTATGTGAGCACAGCCTTCTTATCCTCACAATAGCCCTGTGAGGTAGGTCTAAGATTGCCTACTGAATTTTATGCCTCACTATGGACTTTAGCGCTAAAAACCCAATTCCATCAGGATGAGGAAGAGCAGAGTTCATATTGTTTATCCAGAAGGGAAAGCCCTCTGAAGAGCCCTTACATGTAAACTATCATGTTATGGTTTGTTATTGGGAATTCACCTTGTCTACTCACCAGTGCAATGAGAGATGAAGGAGCCTTTATGCTTTACATTCTCCAGTGTTCCTATGACAACAAGCTAAGAGGAGCTGCAGAAAAGGCATTTGAAGAAACTTGCATGCAGTTTCAGCTGTCCATCCTGCACCTCTATTTACCCCAGATTCTATTCAGCATAGAATATACATAGATCATAACCAGTCTCCACTAGGCTTTTTGCTCTCATTTTTCTTCCTCCTTTGATTTCCCCCCAAATCTTTTGCTGTCCTGCAAAATCTGGAGTTCCTCACAGCTGTGGACCGTGCTCTGTGAGGAGCATAGGAAGAACCCACGTGCCAGATTTAAGGCTAGTCTGTCATTCTGTTCACACAGTAGTCAGCTGTTGCCTATGTGGAACCTGCTTGCAGGAGATAAAACACTTCAACCTTGTCACACATATTCCAGCACTGACATATGGAGGCTTCTTGGCTCTGATACTAATAGTGGTATTATCCTGACAAATTGATATTAATAGCCCAATTCGTGACAATCCCTTTCAGGGTTTTCCAGGCATACACAACTCAGAAATAGTTTACCTTTCTTCTGGGGGTGCCCTGTGACGGTGCAGCTTGCCTAAGGCTACATAGGTTGGCTCTTCTTCTGACAGGCATGGTGAGGAATCAAACTTTCAACTGACTGAGTTATACAGCCA